ATCATTATGTATTTAAAAAAATGTTTATAAAGTCTATATGAATAATTATCTGAATAATTGACGCAAACGTCAAGAATGGTGAAACTAGTTTCATTATAACACATTCAAGTTAATAAAACTATGTAATTGTTTATAAGTTCGTTACTATGGCAATTGTGGAGATACTGTATGTAATATTTGAATTCGTTTTCGATACAATTTTACATGTTTATAATTTTCTGATTGTTGATCAGTTTTATAATCTATCAAACCATGTACACTACTTCTTGTTCACTCATTGTGTTGCGTTTGCAGTATTACATCTTCCTCTCATAGCATTTGACTTGATTCATCAATGTCGCAAGTTACACCATCGTAATTCCGAATACTGATGTCCACTACACACACAGTACACACATACGATAATGAAAAGACAATTTTCTAATTTTCACGTGTTACTAAGTTACTTTTTGCTGGTTTGATACTATGTATTTTACCAATTAGAACACGAAAATGCATACAGTATTGACTAGTGTTATTAACCTAGTAGGTGTTGTTTTTAAATTCTTCACCGATGCCACGAGAGTCTCAACAGAATATGATCACAACTCTCATCATACACATCCTTCATACTCTATATATTTTACAATCACAGTCTATGGCTATATTTCTCACAGCTATCGATATTTGTCCATTCCTATCATTTGGTCGAGTGTCACGCCACATGTAAATCCAACATTAGCTTTCGTATAGTTTCTTTATGCTTTGTGAAAACTCAATAGTCGGTTGCTTAGCAGCAGTGATGCCAATGGTTTCCACGTAGTGCTTTCCCCGATGTGAATATTTCATCAATTGTATCCGCTGCGCGATGCAATAGTTTTCCATATACGAATAAATATACACAAATATGTTTACTAAATGCACATGTTATGTGTATGTGTGTTCGTGCTTACCTTAAGTTAGGAGTTTCCAGAGACGTATCCAACTGTTGGTGTATGTAACTGTACTTATATGACACATGGGGGAAGAAGAGTAAATGAAACAGCATCGGCTGTTACAATAAGAGTGTGTGCTTGGTATGGACGTGCATTGCTATCGTTGTCCCTAGCGGTTTTATCATATATTCCGGATTAAAAAAAACTAGATCGCCGAACTTCATGTATATTTAATTGCGATGAATCCAGCATCTTACAATCATCAAAATAATATACAAAAGTAAAAAAAAATAACATTGGTTCATTTCAATTCAACACCCAATTCTTCATTCTACCATGGACCATTCCATTACCAGCAAGTGTGATATCCACAGCTGATATTCACCCGTGTTCATATTGGAACATTCCTGATATTTTCAATTCATGAATGGTTCATCAAATCGAATTAAATATTATCTACTTTCGAGATGTTTGAGTTCTCATTTACTTTGCATTATTAACATACAATGACAAACATGTTTTCATTCGATAAATAAAATTATGCCTTAGAAAATATTTTAAAATTTAATATACGAGTATAATTTAGAAATTTGATAAAATTGTTTCACAAAACAAGTATATCAAATGCACAAGAATTCAATAATTTTGTTTCCGAAGACTTCCCACACTTTTTTACACACTTTAATGGGATGCATGGGAAGTCTTTGGTTGGATACCAACCACATTTTTTGTTCGAATGAGATTCAAAGTCAAAGTGCCTTTATTTTTATTTTACAAAACGGGCACAAAATCATCTACACATGGCATGGCATCAGCTTTATTCAATCAGCGAGATACGAGGTAGAATCTATATTTAGTTATTTATTTTGAGTAGTAAATATCAATTTCATGTTAATGAATATTTATTGTTTCAATTACACATGCCCCATTTCGACAAAATTCGTAATTACACGGCTATCAATAATGCATAATTTATTAATAACACTTGTCACATGGCCATAGTTTATACCAATCACAATACCAGCTTCCATGGCATAAATATGGTCACACTTTTGCGGCTTTGGTAGCTTCTCATTCAGCTATCAGCGCCCCCTACACACACCCTCGGCTGCCGATACTGCATATGACTGCTTCGACGCGCTCAGTGTGATTTGCACAATAGTCACAAGACCAGTTCTGTAGAATTAATTACTCTGCCTTTCGTCATTCTAATTTGGTCATGTGGTAAAACAATTATATTTCTATATCAATTAGTCGTAGAGCGTCACTCGTACATTCATTTCTATGAATAGAGAATAGACCGTTTTCCGTTCACTGCGAGATCTCGCGTTACGTGTGAAATCGAACGTGAAAACCAAAAAAAAATGCGTCCGATCAATGAAATGGCAAAATAAGTGTTTACACGGTCAGATTAATGTCATCATATCAATCTGATGAATTTGAATATCCAAAAATCAGGTCAAACATCTAATTCGTCGGCTACACTGTCAGATCTATCATCAGAATAATCGAGCGCCAAGGTTGTACATCCGAATTTTAAAAAAATGAGATCTGACATCAAATTTCTCGGTTTACACGGTGCGATTTATCTTGTCAGATAAATCTGATATAGTAAACCGGCCTTAGGCAAATGCGCCCCGTTACATTATTCAAATAAACGGCTTGAAATAAACGTGTAGTGAATGCGAACTCACAGTGACTAAATGAACATGCGCAATTCCAATCTTTGACGTCACACACAAAATGCAGAATATCATTTTGCACACAAGTAAAGTCTGGTGTATTCATGGTCTGAACGATCTACTCAGTTACAATCTCCCTCGAGGACAAGTATCTCAACCTGCAGTGACATAGAAGTAATCAAAACAATAATACAGTGTAAATTGCAATAACTAAATAACACGTCCTGACGTCATATGCTGTACATGTACTAAGTATATTCGAATTGCTTGTATCGTCGTAATCTGGGATCTACCTCAATATTGATACATAACGGCCTTTATGTCCCGGTAGACAACTGACTTGACTTTTAATTAGACTTATACATAGTAACAGTAATACATTATTTGCTGCGACGATCGACAAACACAAATATACTACACCTTAGTAGTTTTAGATGTCATTATTTTATAACACTTGCATGTAAATGCACCGAGATTGTTTATTTATTACAATTATTTCAAAATACGTGTTGAACCTTTTTGTATACTAAAAATAAAAAGTCGGAAAAGAATACTTAATTTTTAATAAAATGTAATTTTTAAGAAGACATACAGTTTGTTGACGATCGATACTATTATACGAGCTGTCAGTGATTCTTCGGTCGCCATTTGTTTCGGCGTTGATTACTTGTCCTTTTGAGAATTCGTTCATTTATGCTAATGTCAATAGTTTCAACATCATGGAAGGGAAATCGATCATTAATATGAATAAGTACAGCAATTGTAAACTATATTTGGCTATTTTATAGCAATGACTGCATACAACGCAGATTTGATACACATAGTCTCTTAAGTTAACCGTCGTAAGTTGAATTGAATAAATACAATTATATAGACACTGGGCAAATTATTGTAAGTGGATGATTTTTCAAGAATGTCAATATTGATTGCTTAACATTTAGGGAATGAACTGTTAGCGTTTTGGAGTATCTCGCCACGTGTTTCGATAATTTCATCCTTATCAGTCACTGAGTATTGCTGATAGATCATCGACTACCAATATTGAATTTAAACTTAAACTTACAGGCTGACAATAATCATTTGTCGCGGTGTAGATTACATGTAAAATACAAATGGAATCAATGTCAACTGCATGGAATCACTTTTATAATTCTGGGATACTTGTGATTGTACGCGTCATACAAATAATTGTACAAAAGGCATGTAATGTGTATTGAAGTAAGATCACAATTCAGTTTACAACATTATCATAAACATAGAAATGATTATATCTCTTTGTTAAAAAAATAAAAGATCTACGTTAAGTAACAACTATAAGACTATAACTGGTTTTAGTCGCTGTAAATGACAAATCAATATTGTCCCATCCCATATCACTGGTCTCTGTAACTTGGATGAATATATTTTTATTATTATTATTATTATTATTATTATTATTATTATTATTATTATTATTATTATTATTATTATTATTATTATTATTATTATTATTATTATTATTATTATTATTATGATGCAAGAATACTATTTAAAACCATAATATAAAAATGTTCTTTAGTGTTCCATAATCGTAAAGTTAATCCATTACAATTGGAATGTTGCATGCACATTTGACGTCATTGATGATAGTCTGAAACAAGTACGTGTCACAGCTGTTTAGAGACAACCAGTATGCAAGAACAATAAAGACCACACGTATACAATGTACCGGGACTATTCACTGACTATTAATATACAATTCTTTTCAAAGGTACAATACTAAAACGTTTTAATTGAAGACGGCGTTCGTATTGTTCACATCGCTTTATTTATTAGCATATATGTGTCTACTTACGTATATCATTTGTTTAGAAGTCCAAATTTTCATTTGGACGCCCCAAGCGACGATAACAACACGCTCTAAAAACGGAAATGCTCATATGTAGACGCCTGTTTGTAAACAATGACACATATGGACATCTGACGCATGCGCAGGTGACGACACCCCCGCTTTAATCTCACATAAAAATCGTTTTTACAGATTAAGACACAGTCCCTCCACAACTGGAGGGACTGTGATTAAGATCACAATTTGCACTTTTTCGGTAGAATGGTTACACGTGTTCATGGTGCATTATTCCCAGATGTTTTCTCGCTGCTTTCCTACGTTACAAAGTAATATTGTCAATGACGCATACGAAATATTTTCAAAGATGTCTGCCGTTTGCCGCATTGACGCCATTTTGTTTCAACAGGAAAACCGCAATGCAGTGTGGGTACAATTATTGTTGATGAACAGGAAGTCCAAACATGCTCAGGATGGATGACGACTATGGCGTTTTAAATCAGGTCGTATATTTCACTTGGTACTCCGGGGAGATCACGAAGATACAACACTTCCTTTCCAGTCAAGTCACGTTGGTTCTTAATAAAAATTGACCAGTTTGATTTTCCACAGCTTATAAACACCTGCGATTCTACAAAAAAAAACATATAAAATCTCTGGCATGTTCTATTATGTCGATAAAGGGATAAACGGTAAAACCCTGCCCTCTTTACGGCACTGTTGGTTACCACAAGGAAGTCGTGATGAAAAACGCCTACATTGCAGTATTCAGTAACTAGCAAATGCACCAATCAGCGTGACTTCCTCTCATTACAGAGGGCCAATGCATTCATCGTTCCACAACAAGCGCGTATTAGTCATTTGAATTCATGACGTTTATCATGAATAGGCAAACCGTAGACCCAAAATACGGGATTTGCCCGAGTAGGTTGAAGGGTAGTGGGTAAATATTATGTCAAGCGAAAGCAAGTATGATGGGCTGCACAAAACCAGATGTCAAAATATATTTTCCAGTAAAGTTTGTTATGTAAGACTCAAATAGTCAGTAATTATCTACAATTAGATTCAAGGTAGCTTTCATTTCACGTACGGAATTCGTGTACAATATGGATTTGACGCTGAGCCCTTTGACATTAATGCATGACATACACTTACTTGCACACAATTCTTGCTCAACCAATGACAACTGATAATTGTCCCACCTCAAACGACGGGCGTCTTTGTCTTTCATGGAAATAATCTTCTTGGATGTAAATACCTGCAGCTGTTGTTCACTTCTCAGGTCATCTATAAATTCCTGGTAATATTATGCATAATTACATTACTCATAAACATTGTCCATTACTTTTATGTTGTCGCATTTTTGTTACATTATAAATATTCGAGCAAATCGGAGAATCTGATTGGTGCGTTCCAACAATCGGGGAATTTGATGGGTAGGAACGAACAACCAGAGAATTTGATTGGTACGTACGAACAGAAAGAGAATGTGATTGGTAAGTACGAACAACCAGAGAATTTGATTGGTACGTTCAAACAATCGGGGAATTGAATGATGCGTTCGAACAATCGGAGAATTTGGTTGGTGCGTTCGAACAACCAGAGAATTTGATTGGCCCTTGCGAGAATTTGTATTTCCTGTATACATAGGGCCATGCTGGTGTGAATACATCAAAGTATAGTTTAGTTAACAATTCTGTAACTCACGTTTAACACTTTTAAAGGACGGCCATCGTCGCACCATTTATGTTGATAAACAGTGATTTTCCAACAATTCAATGTTCTTTCTAAGTGGCAAGCGTGAATGCGACTGTGCAGTAAATATCGACTTTGACTTGTAAGATTGTTTCATCAAATGAATTACATGGTTAAAACTTGGCAGTGTCTTCTTTCTTCTACGCATTGGGCAGCACAGCAATTGAAGTCGTAATCTCTGTTAATATGGGACACATATTCTGCGCATGCGCGGCGCGTCGATCACCACCCTTTAACAATATCCTCCTTATTAGTAAATTCTTTGTGGATCTCCCTCCAGGTAATTCTTAGAAAACTACAACAATTTTGAAAAGATGTTAATAAACCCACCTGTTGTCTTGGGGGCGCTGCTACATATGCACACTTAATCCTCTTAGATTGCATGAAGTCTCTGACCGCTTGAGCTGTTTTATTACTTGATCCGGATAGAAGGGGCATGGTGTGAGGGCAATTCTCGGCACCATTGAGCAGCAAGTTAAATTCACAACTGAAAAGAAATACTGATTGTCAGTGCTATATCGTGCATCAAATACGGAATACTTCGCAGATAACTTGATTAGCATGTGACACTTAGTTTAGGGCCGTATCGAAACAAACACGAGTCGACAACTCTGACATTTGCAGAAAAATACAGTGATAAACGTACGTTCGACGTACACATTATATTATATTTATATTTATAACAGCAACTGTCCTGTTTTGACGTAGATTATTTTATTTACTGTCACTTATATAGTGAGATGTGCTCACTATTTTTTAAACACCAGGAATCACTTGTTGGCTCTATGCCTTGACATTTATATGCCTATAGCTGGCTAGGTTTAACCATAGACCCTCTATCTGTTAGAGGGTCTATGGTTTAACGTATGCTCGTTTATTTGTTCGTTATTATGCATTCGTACAATGCAATGTATGGTGTTTGTTATCCGTGAAAATATATTTTTTAACAATTTGGTACAATGGTATCATTAAAAGGAGATGCCAAATTGTTCGAGCTACGGACATCGAGTTACAAAAATGACCACGCCCATATTTCAGAAATCACGCCCACTTTTGCGAAACCACGCCCAAATTGTAACTCGAACTTTAAATAACAGTTAACAGTTATTTTGCCAGTATCTCGAAGTTCTGTTAACTGTTAATTGAACATCGAGTTACCTTGGCGTGGTTTCACAAAAGTGGGCGTTGTTTCAAAAATATTGCCGTGGTCATTTCTATAATTCGATGTTTTCGTAACTCGACGTTCGGAACTCGATGGTCGTAACTCGAACAGTTCAGCATCTCCATTAAAAGAGACGTGCTCTGCATCAAGAATGTCTTAAAATACTCACATTTCTCCCGTTCTATTTCTCCAGTGAATACATACATACGGTTTCCCAAGGCAAATATTGTCAGATAACCTGTCTGCTGTGTTTCTTACGTATTCCGTTCGAACAAAGTTTTTGTCCACAGTTTTATAAAGATCTATTTCGCCGGGTATGTCAAGATTTTTAATCTGCAATGGTCCGTGTACTCCAAGACATCTGATATCACTCACTACATCCAGGTTCGTTGCTGGGTTCGCTTTATTTATGAATGATTGAGCGTCAGAGATATTAGGAAGCCGTATCCCCCACAGGCTATTGAAATCATCCCGTGTCCGTTCGTATTGACTCCGGTAGAATTTCGACAAGGATTCCGAGTAACGAGACATATTAAACTGGATAAGAAAGTTGACTTCACTCATGCAGTTCACGCGGAATTCTGAAGGTGTTGCTAGGGGAACAATGTCCCTTTAATTTAGTAATGTCGAATGTCTCCTGAAATGATCTCCATCCTTTGTGCCAGCCGTTTATATGATGATTATGGAAAGGTATCATTACCAATGTCCGGTTTAATGACATTGCCATGGCAATAGCCCGTCTGAAGCTCAGATAGTTCCAATTTGGACCACCTTCCCAGAAGATAACGGGAAATAAATACTTTGGTATTCGGAGAGTATCGTTGGTGTGAGCCGCGTCCCCTATCGATGAACTCGCATTTTTTGTTAACACGGATGAAAAATTGTGTGTCTTCAAATATGTATGCTGCGTCTTGAAAATCAATGACAAGAAAGATGTAGGTGTTAATAATGAAACAGGAAGAATTATAAATAATTGTTGAGTTGGTATACATATAAATGTGGTGATGTCTCGTATTTATCATTAAAATTGAGAAATTTCATTAAGATTTCATCGTAATTTATCGATTTTCTCGCTAATATGTAGACTTAAACTAAATGCTGCTGTTTTGTCTAAGAAAATCATCCCGGAAATTGGCCCAGAGTGTTGTGTAATTGAGCTTATATATTATATATTATGTGTTAATAGTACACATTATTACTAAGTTATCAACGTGTATATACACCATGTGGAAACGCATTAATAACTGCCACAGCCATATATGATTTATATGTTGTCATACCGTGGTTTACCCGTCATATATACGAACAAAATCCTCCCAGTGTGACGATGTACTCTTTTCAGATACAACAAATTGAAGCACTTTTTCATCACTGGTATTATTTTATGTAATTCGCCATAGTGGGTATGCCCGAGGGATGCCCCAAAATTGTGACATCACGAACAAATCTCATTCTTCGCGATATCTGACCAATCACTTAGCCAAAGGGTTATCATATGCAACTTACCAATGCGCTGTTCTGTACATGACGTAAGCCGGTAATATCAGGCATGGATGGTTGAACTGTCGCGGAAGTATTCGGCCAGTTGATCTTACCTCTCACACCGTACTGTTTCGTCTCTACCGCTGATAATCCAGATCTATTCCGTCTCACTTCTGTTTTCAAATCGGAAATTTCATGATAAGTCATTTTTGGTGGCTTTTGTGATATCATTTGATGGTCGATGACTATTTTCGACACGGTGATCGCCGCCAACACCAACAGTATACACACCATATGGCGAAACATGGCCCATACTCAGTTGAGAGTATATTATGAATGAATGTACATTCGTGCAGCCATTGTTCTTGCTAGTATCGTACACACTGGATACTGTCGATATCATTATAAATGGATACGTACCAACGCGTTACTAATATGCTGACAACATGTCGCCATGCACGATCCGATGACGTCATCTGCTCTATACACAATGTATGTTGGTTTTAGTATTTTGCATAACTAATAAAATGGAATATGTAACGATGGTAATTTGTTCGCTTTTCTGCACATATCAGTGTTTGAAATTTAGTATATCAGTACATATGACGGGTGTAATAAATATAAGCATAACTAATTTTCACAACTTTGAAATGTACAACCCTTCAAACTATGTGAATACATTGTAGGTGTCGGAGCTTGACGATTGGACATTTCAATTCAACTATATTGTATACTACTGTTTTATTGACTTGCGGTTTGGGTGGTTATTTAATAACTTTAGTCCAGTAGAGCCTCGTTCTGAAACAAATGTGACAGCTGAAATTAAAATTGGTTTGGGTAATAAATATTCAATGTTTCGTTCAATCATCCGTTGAACACGTGGTGTTGGTTTTCTAAAAGACGTTATCGCTATTTTTTGCAATATAATGTTTCCAAATAATTGTGATACGTGACTAAGAAACAAACAATGCTATGAAGTAAAACCATCAGTTTATTGAACACAATTTTGAGAGGTTTTACATGACAGCCCAGTTCCTATTTTACCTGATAACCCAGGACACTCTGTGTACATGGTAATTAATATATAGGCCGCCATTTTGAAGAAATCTAATTTCGAATTCATGCATAATTAATTATGATGTGACGTGACATGGTCTCTTAGGTGAAAGAGAACAGCAAAGTTGTTTTGATAATTAGGTTAAGAGTGCGACATTTGTTTCAATCTTGTGGCAATAGAAATGAAGTAGCATATATCATGATGTCAACCCTGTGGTATAATGTTCCAGCAGAGTGTCGCGCGCTGTTGGGGAATACTTTAGAATTTGCTGATCATGTTTGCTGTTATCAATTAAAATCAATTTGACATCATTGAGCTGAGGCATTGATAGTGTGTTGATACTTGAATCTCGCGAGCTGTGCAATATTCAGACGTGAGCGTGTAGACGTGGTGTGGAAATAATCCCTTAAGCTGACTGCCTGAACTACTCCCAGTGGACTGACGCTATTAAATGTCACAGAAGGTAGCAATGTGATAGATGATACTCCCCGATTTGAGTCTAAATTGTTGTGCAGCTGTTTCACCGGTGTGACAGAAAAGTAGGAAGGCACCAATCAACATGAATACTCACTCGAGAGTGGAGATTTCTTTACATCCTCGATCGAAATTCTGATTTCACCATTTATAATATATTCCCCACTCAGACTAACCCTGAGTACAGTCCTGT